AAAAAAAAAAAAAAAAAAAAAAAAAAAAAAAAAAGAGTAAAATTGAAAATGGCGATTGTGTGCGTATATAAAAACAAGGGGCTAATAATAATATTCAATAATAATACCAATCTTCTATTCTTCTTCTACCTCAGTGTTTCTTCCTCCTCTGTGCGATTCCATCTTTATCCGCTTGGTTATGCTTCAGATTATCTCTTGAACAATTATTGGCTATGTCTTTTTTTCTTCTTCTTTTTTTTTTTTTTAATTTATTGATTACATTATTATTTATGTGATTTGCAGTTAGCAAGAATGCAATTTTGCTTATGTTTTGTTGTTTTTTTTATGTTCCCTTTGTGTTTGTTTGTTCTGGGTCGTCACAATTTGGGCTTGGTCGTGCAAGAATTTGTAAATACATATTTTTTTTTTAATGGGGTTTAATGGGCTTGCTTTGATTTGCTTGCATATGCTGAATTTGAGGTTTAATGGGCATATGCTTTGATTTGTTCTTGATTGCTTTTGTTGTTCTTTGTGGTACTTATGTTTTGGTGCTTTCTAATGTGGAAAAAAAAATGCAATCTTTTTGCTTGTGGGTGTTGAGAATCACAGTAGAATTAGCCATTAATGTGTTATAGAAGCTAAAATGTGTGTATTTTCTTGAATCTTGATGGATGTTTTATTACAGCTCATTTGGTTGGTTGATGTTGTCTGTTTTGAGCAGCTTGGACTATGTAGTCAGGGTGTTTGTGAAATTGTTTTGTCTATTACAGTTCAAATTATGTGAAATTTTTCATGGTTCTTGATTGACATTAATTTGCAGAAAATTATCATTTTAAATTGAAATTCATTTTCCCTTTTTTTTTTTTTTTTGGTTTTTAGGATACTTCTGAATTTAGTGTATAGTCCTTGTGAGAGAAGCATGGCTCTTTCTGGGTATAAAAAGGATGGAAAAGAGGTGCGGATTTTCGAGAATGCCGATGAACTTAGCAGCAATTTAGCCGAATATATTTCTGATTTATCAGAGTCTTGCATCAAAGAACGAGGCGTTTTTGCCATCGCTTTATCCGGCGGCTCGCTGATTAGCTTGATGGGGTGAGCTGATCCACTAATGCAGATTGAAGTATTACTGTATTAGTGTGCTTTTTGTTGAATTTTGTTGTTTAGTCTCAGTAGGATGAATTATTGACCCTGAATTATATGTTTGTTTGTGGTGCAGAAAGATCTGTGAGGCCCCTTACAACAAGACAGTCGATTGGGCCAAGTGGTATATATTTTGGGCCGACGAACGTGTCGTATCGAAAACTCATGCCGATAGCAATTACAAGCTCGTGAAGGATGGGTTTTTATCCAAGGTATATTTCCTTCTTTTTTTTGTTCATTAGTGATCATTTTCTGTTTATGTTTATTCGATGCTGAAGTTATTTTCTGGTGATTTTTCCCCTTGTTTTTTTCTGTGATTCGAGATTATTTCCATAAATATGGTGCTGAGTTTGAGTCTGTGATCATTGGTCCTGCAATTTTCAAATTATTAAATGTCTTTAGATTGAGCCATAAAAAATATTAAACAAAATCCTTCTGTTTATCCAAATTTTGGCTTGCATTTTGCTATCAGTAATGGACCGTGGCACCATCTTAACGGGTTCTGTTTCATTTCATGTTCGGTTGAAAAATTTTGCTGGAGTTTTTGGTATTCTTTTCTTTTCTTTTTTTCAATCATAATATGGTATATGCTATAAGAATTATCCTCTCTTCTTGGTGGGTGAAGGTAGTTCAGTCGAGAGTACTTAGTACATATACCATTCGAGAGCTATATGACTTACCCTTGTCTACTTGGCATTGATTTGCTTCGATTTTTATCAATTACCGAATACGAGTAGTCTGCTAATTAAAATGAAGTCGTCTTCTTTATCATACCAAGTTCTTGAATCTTGAATCATTATTCTTTAGATAACATCGTTTGTGTTATGCGCGTAAATCGATAGATCGTTAGAGATTGTATTTGTTTATCTTCATCTTATAGGTATTTAGGTTACACCATTCTCATTTAAATTTACAAATTTCAATGATTTATCTCAATTTTGTAGGATATGTATAGTTTTGTTCATCTCAATTGCAACTAATTTTGTCTTTTCATAATAATAATAAAAATATTGAATCTTTAATTGTCTTCTCGATTTAAAAAAAAAAAAAAAATGTGATCTTTAAATATTTTTTGAAATTTTTTAGGTCCCGATAGTTCACAGCCACGTCCACTCGATCAACGACCTTGTGACAGCCGAGCAAGCAGCCGAGGACTACGAGTTTGCCATCCGCCAGCTCGTGAGGACACGTGTCGTCAGCGTGTCAGAATCCAACGACTGTCCTAAATTCGACCTTATCCTACTCGGGATGGGCCCGGATGGCCACGTGGCTTCCCTATTCCCGCGCCACCTGGCGCTCGACGAGCAGGATCAGTGGGTGACTTTCATCACGGACTCCCCCAAGCCCCCTCCCGAGAGAATCACTTTCACGCTGCCGGTAATTAACTCAGCGTCGAACGTGGCTATAGTAGTGACAGGTGGCGGAAAGGCGGAGGCTGTACACCTGGCAGTTGATGGTGCAGGCCCTGATGGCCCGGAGTTGCCAGCAGGGATGGTGAGGCCGATTAATGGGGAGCTCGTGTGGTTTTTGGATTCATCGGCTGCAGCTAGTATTGAGAGCGGGCGATTTTCGGAGTAGGGTTTTTTGAAATTTTTGAGGTTTTTTGTTTGTTGTTGTTAATGTTATGTGCTTGCTCTTGTATGTAGTGTCTGAAGGTGGGAAGAATTCTGTGTGTGTGTGTTTTTTTTTTTTTTTTTTTT